TGCCACGTGCACCAATTCCAAGATTATACAAATGTCTAAATAGTGGTACGCTTGAATAAAAATTGTCCACGTATAAGTGGTACCCCATATGGAAAAAGGATGACACAAAGTCCCAAACTATCTTGCCACTACTGCCCATGTAATCTTTCCGTAGTAAATCCAAAACTTGTATGTATAGCCGGTTGTCCCCTCACAGGTCTTATACAGCTTCACCCCATATCTGGCACGCTTGCTGGGGAGAAATTGTTTGAATGCAAGGTGGCCAGAAAAATTAATGAGGGACTCATCAACGCAAATTTTTTGCTCGGGAGTATAGACATTTGCAATTTTTGGTTAAGGTGATTTACGAAGGGGCAGAATTTTGTGGAGCTGGTCAAATTCAGGGTCACCCCGAGGACGACAGAGTGTATTGTCGTTGAAATGCATAAAACACATTATACTCTCATATCTAAGCCTCGCCATGGCAGCAAAGAACACGGGCATATGATGAATCGGGTCTCTGGACCAAAAGAACCCCAATTCATTTTTTTTTTTTTTTTTTTTTAGTAATGCCCATGTTGAGGGTTAGGACCAAAAAAAATTTAAATTCGGAAACCATAATGGGTTTCCATGTGAATGGCCTGGCAAGGTTTGAATTTGGGTTGGCGGCGATAAATTGTTGTGCATATTAATTGCTTTGATCCACAATCAATGCATAGAGATCTTCCGTGAAAAACAGCTCCAAAAAAATCAAGGGGAGTAGTTAAATTTGCTGTTTCCACCTGAATTCTATGTTGGGCAGTGAATGGGGGAAGTACGAGTTCTGCAGAATTTGTGGGCTGCCAATTGAGATTTGCAAGCGCATCCGGAAGGATATTAGGGGCTCTACGGCTCTGTGTGCAAATTTGTGGTGGTTGCGGGACAATACTTGTGCTCGCCACCACACCAGCTTGTACTGCAATTATGGGACTCGCCAGCCACGTCACCAAGTGATACTGCAGTGCTGGTATGTGAGAGACCAGGATGTGCTAAGCCGCTGGTGCTCGTCAATCCACCAAAAGGTAGAGTGGCACTAGTACTGGCACTCTGCTGCATATGAGAGTCATCAAAATTTACCGGCAAGTGCTAGCAGAGATCAGACCTGATTCTGTGAACACTGCGGTTTTGTGTGCAATGTATCAAGTGACAGTGACCTACTGACAATGCACTGCTGGGGGGAGAGGTAAGTGTAGGGGGTAAAAGCAGGTGCTGGCAGGGGCTAACTCGGTGTTTTTGGGGACAGTATACTAATGTGAACGCTGGTATAGTGCTGATCTGATCAAAGATATTGATCCGTTCAGACACTATAGTAGCAATGGAGGTTTATTGTGTATGAGCATGTTCCTGGCAATCAAGGGGTTAAATGTGATTACTGATTTACTGATGTACAATCTGACACTATCTGGGAGGGGTGTGAAAACCACGGGAGTGCGAATCACATATATATATATGTATGTGTGTATGTATGTATGTGATTTTGCACACCCGTGCTGCCCTGTAGCAGTATTTCTGCTATAGGGAGGTCAGGAAGCAGTTAAAGAAGCGGTTTGCATTACGGCACTGCATTACTTTAACTGACAATTGCGTGTTCATGCAATGCTGCACCCAAATTAAATTTATATCCTTTTTTCCCCTCAAATTGAGCTTTCGGTGGTATTTGATCGCCTGTGCGTATGTTTTTATTTTTTTGCACTATTAAAAAAAAAAAAAAAAAAAAAAAAAGACAATTTTGAGGAAAAAAAAAAAGAAACAATATTTTGGACTTTTTGCTATTAAACATGCCCAGTAAAAAAAATTCAAAATCCAATTTTGTCATAAATTTAGGCCAAAATGTATTCTGCAACAATACCAATACAATAATTCCCAATACGTGTAAATTAATTGGTTTACGTGAAAGTTCTAGTGTTTACAAATGGCGGTATAGATACTGGAAATGTATTTTTTTTTATGCTAAGAGTGGTGGTGATCAGCGACTTATGGCGGGAGCGCAGAGGGCATTCTGACACTGGGGGGGAACTGACTTGGTGTCACTGACATCCACAGTGACATCAATACAGTGATCAGTGCTAAAAAAAAAAAAAAAAAAAAAAAAAAAAAAAAAAAAAAGCACTGACACTTTACTAATGGCACTGGGCAGGAATGGGTTAACATGAGGGGCAATCAAAGGGTTAACTGTGTGATGGGAGTGTTTTACTAAGAGGCAGGGATGCTTCACTGTAAGCACGCTGATCAGGATGGCTCTGCTCAGCCATCCTGAGTAGTGCCCAAACTGACAGGGAGGAGGGCTGTTGGTAAACAATGCAGCCACCCTCCCCGTCATGCACCCTCCTACTCCGAAATGCAGAATCACGTATATATACACATGTGATCCTGCGCACAGGGGCCACCCTGTAGCAGTAAATCCACTGTGGGCAGTCCTTAAGCGGTTAATAGTTTACTTATTAATATAAACTAAAATTTATCTTCTAAATTATATACACACACACTGGTACTCCTGCCTTAGCTAGAAATGCTACAATATTTTTATAGCAAAGCCACATTTGTGTGTCTCACATGAATAACAACATTTCATAATAGACCAGGATATCACCTTAATATGTTAGCTGTTGGATGGGACAAAGCTGTAGTACCTCTGACAGATTACAGCAACTCCCAACAAAACAGGGAGTTAAAATATCCTTTAGGTGTTTTATTGCCGGCTGTGTCCCATTAGATATTTGCTACCAGTACTAAGCCCCCATTCACACCAAGTGAAAGTACAGCCAGGCATGCAGCATGCCTTTTTCATTAAAATGTGCGTTTCTGCCCCAAAGGAGCTCATGTACGTTGTCAAGCTTGACGCCCAAGCATCAGTATTCATGTGTTAACAAGTCAACTGAGAAAAGTACAATGTTCATCTTGAAGATAGGTAGGCAGATTTTCCACGATACTAATCCAAAAAGTCTGCAGTTTAATTGATTGAGGTCCAGTCAAAGGCAGGTGTCCCAGAACACAGGTGTCCATAGGTGTACTACTTTTCTTTTTTTTTTTGGATGCCAAAATTCTTGTTATATTACTGTGAATAATCATTTAATTATGGTAAAGTCTCTCCTGCTCAGCACTCTAATTTATTAAAACCATTTATAAAGTGTTGAACTCCCTTTTTAAGCTCTTTAAGCATAAGGCAAGGATTGTTTATAATGAGAGCTGTGACCATGTGGAATTGACATCCATAGGTGCTAGTTCTATCCACCTCAGTAGATTGCTACAAAAACAGGCTGAGTCTTTTTCTAAATATTAAAAACTGGCTATTAACCAGTTCCCACTATAGGTAAGCATATATGCGGCCTCTCGTTAAGTGGGTTTTAACAGTGAGAAGCCACATATATGAGTCCCTATGTAAACAGTTTCCTGTGCAGAGAACACGCCCTGCACAGTTACTGGAGAGTACAAGAAAGCTCCCAAAGGGTACTTGCAATCAGAAGCTTTCCGATCATGCGACCGCTCTGAATGACAATCACAGTGGTAACTTGATTGGAATGCCCACCTCCTGGTATTTAGAACCTCTTAAAAGGGCTGGAAGGCACTTGGCAAGGAACATACATTCTGCAATAAAGTAGTAGTGAACTGAAGAAACGATCCGCTGGCAGACAGGGCTTTTTTTTTAAACATAAAAGACCCTAGAGATCTCTTCTGTCATAAATCAACCCCTGCCTGTCAGCGGGTAATGTGATCTGACCCGCACGTGTGCAGCTCAGACCCCATTTACGGCCCACTCTACACGGCACGGCGATGCGACTTCCATGCACATGTGCGTGGGTGACGTCCTCTCAGTTTGGCCATTCAAGTGGCCAAAGATAGGAATCCCGGAAGGAAGAAGACATGAAGATGGAAGCCTCCAGGGACCAGGGAGAGCAATGACAGCAAAGAGCTGGAGGGCTCAGTTTATAGTAAAGTCTGTCATAATGTACTAGTATGCACACCGCATACTTGTATGTTATGACTTAAACATGCAGGGGGGTCCATTTTATTTGTTTTAATGCAAAGACTTTACAACTGCTTTAATAATTATGCTACAATAATAAGTGTGCGCTGTAAATTGCCTCCAGCATTGTTCCTGTTCCTTTTTGCCGGATGCCAACATTTTGGTGAAGCTCAGAGCCCATGATCAGCAGTACATCTTTAGGCTAGCAGCAGATTAGGTCTTACATTTTACAGACAGTGCCTAAAAATATAGAGACGCTAAGCATGTGCAGAGCAGGGTGAGACCATGTATTACTAGGCACTTATTTTTTTGGTTTTCCATAGCTACAGCTGCAAAAGGGGCCAGCATGACGTGAACTAGCAGGACTTAATTTTATGGCTAAAGTTCCGTTTTAAGTAATGTTGTTCCCTGTTGAAGCAATTTGAATCTTTCTTTATAAGGGTTTTTTGTCCTTTGGATCTGGATTTAGAGTTCTGAGGATACAGTTTTTTGTTTTCTTTTTGTCTTTTGGTTGAATTTGATGGACAGGTGTCTTTTTTTTCAACCCGATTATGTAACCAGGTGCAAAAACCATATATTTACTTTTTTTCCTCTAACTGAATTACATGATTTAATACATTTGATTACAGTTAAGAATAAGATGCAGTTCTTTAAATCAAAGTTTACACACAACATAGAGGGTGAAGTTATGAAAAGAACAAAGAAAGCCAGTAATCAACCTTGGATGACAGAGGAAGCATTTTATGGTTCAGGCATTTAATTATTCAAAGGAGCACACTATACTTATTATCCAGCTCAGGTCAACATAAACACATAAAAAATGCAGGCAAAAGTATGCAAGGTAGAAAAGAATCTGACAAAGCACAGGGGGATGAGAATAAAGATAAACGGGGAATATCAAACACACATGAAAAGAAAAAAACAAACTTATTAAAAGGCTAGAATGAAGGAAACAGTAGATGTATGCAGAGTGACAGGATGTACAAGCTGGACTGGATGACACTGTCTGGTGACTCACCTGTGACATTAAGTGGTTACTCATGGATTGTTGCTGAGGAGTGGGTGGAAGTGCCTGGTGAGGATGGGGATGTTGTTGCTGTGCAGTGCAAGGTATGACGCTTCTAGTGGACTGCTGCGAGGAGGTGGCTTGGCTGCATACTTCTGGGGTGCTGATCGGCAAGCCTGCCAGAGCAAACAGGAACAGCAAAAAGCAAATTAGAAATAAAATTTCAGCAACAAATTATGTATGACTTCTTTACTGTTGTCATTAATATAATACCTTATAAACTAAGCTGCTATAAAACAGAAAACCAGATAAACCAACTAGCCAGATTATAGCAAATCCCTTTATCCTGGAAAAGGACCTGAAAGAACACAAAACCCATACTTACTGTATATGTAGAGCCAAAACACTTTATTTATCAAATTTTAAGCTTCCTAAAATTCTTTTTTATAAGTTCTGAATGTTGTAAGGAAGGACTATAACCTTGTTTGGTTTTTACTGAAACCTTGGGCTTTCAGTATCCAAGAGATTTCCCCTCGTGTACCCTTTCAATGCCAACCACTTTGCCAGACAAGAAATTAAGCTAAATATCCATCAGCAACACAAAAAAGAATAAAAATGCTTTTTTATTCTCTTAGAGCAGGGGAAAGCTAGAAAGCTCTTCAGGTTCCATTCCTGTCCGTGTCATTTCCGCTGACTATTGTCCTTGGGTTATTAAAGTGGAGCTCCACCCATAAGGGGAAGTTCTGCTTTAAGCCTTTGTCCCCCCCCCCGCTACGGATTGGCACCTTTTGGGGAGCGGGTACCCGAATAAGACAGGTCCCCCGCCTGTAGTCTTCTGGGACATGTGACAGATCTCAGAAGACTACGGGACCATTCACAAAGCGCAGCGCTACTCGCACATGCGCAGTGGGCACCCGGCTCTGAAGCCGCAAGCTGTCACAGCTGGGTGCCCACATTGAAGATGCCTGCACCGGGGAGAGAAGACGGCCGGTGAAACCAGCCATGGTGAGCACACCGCTGGACCGAGGGACAGGTAAGTGTCTATTTTAACCAGTTGCCGACCGCAGGTGGCCAAATGACGGCTGCACTGTGGCCAGCAAGTTCTAGGAGGCCGTCATGTGATGTCCTCCCAGAACGCGTTCTCCTGAGCTCCCCCAGCGATCTCCGTGATTGCTGCATCCGTAGGACACAGCTGATAATGTGATGTGGTAAAAGGGCAATCACAGCGGCCTTTTACCACCTGATCAGCCGTGTCCAATGAGACGCTGATCACCAGGAAATGCAATTGCTGGTTCTCGGGGGCACGTTCCTCACGCTGTCAGAGCGTGAGGAAAGTACTGCCGAGAACCGGCAGTTGTCAGAGCAGGGATCAGCACTGATGATCAGGACACTGATGATCGGTGCCCAGCAGTGCCGCCTACAAGTGCCCACCAGTGCTACCAGTCAGTGCAGCCTCATCAACGCATATCAGTGAAGGAAAAAAATTATCTGTTTGCAAAATTTTAGAATAGAAACCAAGAAAAAAAATTTTATTTTAAAATTTCTTGCTTTTTTTTTTGTTTATAGCACAAAAAATAAAACACCCAGAGGCGAGTAAATACCACCAAAATAAAGCTCTATTTGTGAGCAAAAAATGATAAAAATGTCATGAGTACAATGTTGCATGACTGCGCAATTATCAAAGTGCGACAGCACTGAAAACTGGCCTGGTAAGGAAGGGGTTATAAGTGCCCGGTAGGCAAGTTATTCAACTGGAACTCCGCTTTAACCTCCCTAGCGGTCTGATTATGTCCATATTTCTGTGCTCAAAGCGGTACTTTTTTTGCATGGAAATATATAGTTTTTTTATTGTAGGCCTGTAATTTTTAGGAATAACTCACTGAAATCTGTCCGAGCAAGAGTCTAGTAAACATCCCGGGTATGATAAAATTTGAAACACGAAATCATAAAATATAATTTAATAAATAATCATAAAAAAAATATAATAATAAATTTAATTCAATAATATAATCAAACCAAAAACACTGAAATTTGAAATATAGCTCCAAGTTTGCACATCACTGAGCAAAGTCGCAAAATCGTTTTCAGTGTCCGATGACGAATTTCCCCACAAATCATTATCACTCAATTCTGCAAGTGGTTCTAATTTACTATCGCTGTTCTCTAGCTGGTCTAAAACCGCTTTTGACCTAAAGGGATGCTTTTTGGACGCCATGGACGTTTCTCAGTTTCCAGGCAGAAAGAACAGTAAAAATGCAGGCAGGGCACAGGACAAAGCACTTGGGACAAAATGTATGTGAAATGGTTTGATACAGTAATGTTTTACTATGTGATTTTAGTGTATTGAGTGAATGCCACTTTTGGTCATTTTCAAATTTCCCACCGTTCCGTCCCCCGTACGTCCCGACGCTTGCAGAGAACGGAACCTAGATGATAGATGCCGGCATCCGCCGGATTACATTGCCGGGGACACCGCAGGAGGGACATCACGGGAGCGCAAAACAAGGTAAGTGAAGAACAGATGCCGGAGCAGCGCTGCATGGTAAGCCCGAGTGTAGCTCGGGGTTACCGCTTTTGGTAGTGAAACTTTACCCCGAGCTACACTCAGGAATACCTCCAGGGAGGTTAAGTACTCTCCCAAATAGAATACTGGATATCAGAAACCCAGAAGGGGTTCTAATACTTCCCCACTATCTAAAGCTAAAAGTACCGGAGCTTCGCTTTAAAAACATAATACTACGATGCTCTTATTGGCAGGATTTTGTCTTTTCGTGATGAAAGGTCCTCTGTAAGTAACAATAATCTAGCTGGCTATCAAAACAGATGGTATAATAGCTTGTAAAATACAACATTGAATACAAGTGCTCAAAAACACCAAAACACTCATGCTTTAAACAGTGATACGTCACCTGGTCGGCCTGTCCGGTTGGCTGCATTCTTACTGCTGCCAATGCTATCTCCCCTGGTCAAGATAGAAATGCCACTAAAGCTGCTGGCTTTGGTTACTGGAGGACGCATATTGCGGCAGGAACCATCAGAGTCTGTGCTGCTCCAAGGTCTTGGATCCAGAGATTTCAGTTCACTTTCAGTACTGCTCTGTCGACTACCAGAGCCTCTATTCAGAAAGTCTCTGTTGCCTCTACAGGTAAAAACATTGGATGCATTAAAGTACATATTAATTTTACTCCTTTCCTTACTACAGTAAAGCAAGTCTTTTGCATAAACAAAGAAATTAAAACTATAATATTGTGAAATATTGGGAAAATGTAGAAAAATGAATCTAGATGGCAAGAGTCCCACCCAAACTATTCCTCCAATTTTTTACAGAAAAGCCTCACTATGCTTCCAGGTTGCAAAAGGAAATTTCTTTATATCCACAAAATGTTTCCTAACCAGAAGGTTCCACCATCCTATAATTCACACTGATACAATCTTGGAACAATCTTAACTCCCTGAAAATGGGATAAAAGCTGAAAACGGAAGCTGCTACATGCAGTTACCTAGAAATTAGTATAAAAGGAAAAATAAAAGCTTTCAGTAGACAAATGCAGAGTTACTTGAAGCACAGGTAAAACACCAATGGGTGAGCATTACATTGGTACTGGAAGGTGTGAAGCATTTGATTCTTGTAAAGATAAATACAGATTAAAAAGTGTATGTCAGAATACACTGATCAGCAGCTGATCGACAAATGTTTTTTACCTTGTATGATAGATGGGGATGGCGCACACAGATTGAAATTTGGCTAGTCGCTGCTGAACCAGCCAAGTTTCAAACGGTCTATGGCCAGGCTTAAGCAGTGTTTTTTATCTAAGGGATCCTCATCACCTTTTTATTCAAGCAAAACATGCCAAATATATACAAAAAATACAGAAAGGAACATAAATACAAAAAGTAGGACACCTCTGTGTACAGAGCCGGACAGATCTGCAGATTTTATGTGCATACGCACATAAATGTGTAGCCATTTATTTGAATGAAAGAAGGACTGTACATGTCTAAACACTGTATGCATCTAAACATGTCTAAATGCAAGTACAAGAAAAAAAAAAAAAAAAAAAAAATATCAGCTCCTTTTGCAGGTTAATGACACTACAGTCTAAAGAGCAAATGTGTGCACAGACTGGATGATTTCTAGGGTGAAAAATTGTTACTCATTTGCATATAACAAAAAATTACTCTCACTATAGATCTTTATTTAGTCCTTAAACATGGGCTAAAATAATCTGAACTGCATAATTAAAAGAATTCCAGGCATGGTATATGTTTACATTCTGTCATTGGTCCACCTTGGATACATATATACATACACACACACACACATATATATATATATATACACACACTTATATATATATATATACACACATATATACACACACACACACACACACATATATATACACATACATACATATATATACATACATATATATACATACACACAATACCTGGCCGATGTCCCTAGAAGCTGGAAATCACTGAAGTAGACACTGCTAATCCAGTGATTTCCACTTGCATCCGGTTCCAGCACAGGCGCCATTCAGAGAAGGCTTTGCATTTCTGCATGAGTGCAGTGTTCTCTGATTGGACTTGGACAAGGAGAGTAACATCACCACCCAGCCTCTCTACCTCTTCCAATCAAAGAACACTCTGCATTCATTCAGAAAATGCAATGCATTCTCTGAATGGCACCATACTGGGCATCTGACCTCCTAAATTCCTGATGTATCAGGTCAGCTGCTCAGCATGAAACCCTGAAGCAAGTGGAGATCACTGGAGTAGCGATGTCTGCTTCCGTGATTTTCTTCTCCCAGGGGCATTGACTAGATATGGTATATACATTAGCTGGACCAATGTAACTATGTACATATATCATGCCTGGAAATAGTCTTAAAAAAAAAAAAAAAAAAAAAAAAAATGGAAGATTCCACCTTGACCTATTAACATAAAAAAAAAGGTCCAAGACTTTAATACTGTAAAAGGCTATGCCCCCACCAATGGTAGGCATAACCTCTAAGTGGTCTTCAAGGACAAGGCTTCACCAGACAGGTGTATTGTGACCCTGGCCTTGTAGAGCACTTTATAGCTGACTCATGCATTGGAAACAGGTGTCTAAGCCCTGGTTCACACTGAATGTGATTTCAAAGTGGTGCGATTGGTCCCATTTAAAGCTTAACTTCAAATTAGCACTGATATAGACAAGGTGCGATTTCAGTGCCATTTCCCTTATAGTCTATGAGAGTTAAATTGCACTGAAGTGGGTGAAAAAGTAATGTGTTACTTGAACTTGTATCCAAGACAGTGTCATAGAAATATATTAGATACAACTTCAGGTGCGATTTATAAAATTGTATGTCGCACCTCAAGTGGCAGCGGTGTGAACCAGGGCAAAGTGAGCACCTTCAGCAAAGTGCAGCAGCCAATGACACATTACACAGGTCCTACTTCTTCTCATTTGGGTCTGGGTACAGCTTCCATGCCAATGCGGAGGATCAGGCCATCTGGAAACCTGCAAAATGAGCCCCCTTGCTGGCTCTGCAGCAAATTAAATTTTTTTTTTAGCAAAAAGGTTTTCCTTCTCTCAGAGGAGAGATGACAACTATTCTCATAGGACAATAAAAAAACTGAGGCATGCTAGAACGGGGGGGGGGGGGGGGGGTGTTATACTAGGCCATTTTTTGTGTTTTTTGTACCAGTGTCCAATCTCCTGACGGCAGCAGCTTAACCCTTAAAGAGGATGGCCTCAGGTGATGCACAGAGATGAAACAGATTCTCCTATATAAGGTATACATGTTTATCTGTAGCCATCTGTCCTGTACAGCCTTCTACAACACAGTTTACAGAAAATCTCTCAGCAGCACAAAGCAGGGGGCATGGATCTGAAGGAACACACTGCACAACTAAGGGAGAAGAACTTAAGCCCTGTGGGTGAGGGACACCCCCCACACACTACATGGAGATCAAGCACAGCTGTGGCTGTCAATCACAGGCTGTATTAGAGCACTTTTTCCTGCTGCCTTTTTTTTCCTCTTGGTGTCAAGAGAAACAGTGCTCAGAAATGACTCATACAGATAACTGAGAAATTACACTCAGAGCTTTGGATAGAGACAAGTACACAGTACAGAAGGATGTGCTTCGTCAGATTTCATGCCTGAAGTTTACAACCACTTTAATATATGAATAAAAAGTTTTTGTTTTTTTTTTGTGTATTTTTGAAAAATATCTCCTCCCTTCCATTGGTAAGTAGCGAAGAGAACCACCACTAAAAAGAAGAGGGACAGCGATAAAAATTGGTTGTGAAGCTCTTCAGTATACAGTGGGGATCGAAAGTTTGGGCACCCCAGCTAAAAATGTGTATTAATGTGCATAAAGAAGCCAAGGAAAGATGGAAAAATCTCCAAAAGGCATCAAATTACAGATTAGACATTCTTATAATATGTCAACAAAAGTTAGATTTTATTTCCATCATTTACACTTTCAAAATAACAGAAAACAAAAAAATGGCGTCTGCAAACGTTTGGGCACCCTGCAGAATTTATAGCATGCACTGCCCCCTTTGCAAAGCTGAGACCTGTCAGTGTCATGGATTGTTCTCAATCATCGTCTGGGAAGACCAGGTTATGTCAATCTCAAAGGTTTTAAAATGCCCAGACTCATCTGACCTTGCCCCAACAATCAGCACCATGGGTTCTTCTAAGCAGTTGTCTAGAAAACTGAAAATAGTTGACGCTCACAAAGCTGGAGAAGGCTATAAGAAGATAGCAAAGCGTTTTCAGATGTCAATATCCTCTGTTCGGAATGTAATTAAGAAATGGCAGTCATCAGGAACAGTGGAAGTTAAAGCAAGATCTGGAAGACCAAGAAAAATATCAGACAGAACAGCTCGCAGGATTGTGAGAAAAACAATTCAAAACCCACGTTTGACTACACGATCCCTCCAGAAAGATCTGGCAGACACTGGAGTTGTGGTACACTATTCCACTATAAAGAGATACTTGTACAAATACGGTCTTCATGGAAGAGTCATCAGAAGAAAACCTCTTCTACGTCCTCACCACAAAAATCATCGTTTGAACTTTGCAAATGAACATATAGACAAGCCTGATGCATTTTGGAAACAAGTTCTGTGGACCGATGAGGTTAAAATTGAACTTTTTGGCCGGAATGAGCAAAGGTACGTTTGGAGAAGAAGGGGCACAGAATTTAATGAAAAGAACCTCTGTCCAACTGTTAAGCATGGGGTTGGATCAATCATGCTTTGGGTTGTGTTGCAGCCAGTGGCACAGGGAACATCTCACGAGTAGAAGGAAAAATGGATTCAATAAAATTTCTGCAAATTTTGGATGGTAACTTGATGTCCAGCTGTGAAAAAGCTGAAGTTAAAGAGAGGATGGCTTCTACAAATGGATAATGATCCTAAACACACCTCGAAATCCACGGGGGATTACATGAAGAGGTGTAAACTGAAGGTTTTGCCATGGCCTTCACAATCTCCTGACCTCAACATAATTGAAAATCTATGGATAGACCTTAAAAGAGCAGTGCGTGACAGACAGCCCAGAAATCTCAAAGAACTGGAAGACTTTTGTAAGGAAGAATGGGCAAAGATACCTCAAACAAGAATTGAAAGACTCTTGGCTGGCTACAAAAAGCGTTTACAAGCTGTGATACTTGCCAAAGGGGGCAGTACAAGATATTAACTCTGCAGGGTGCCCAAACTTTTGCAGACGCCATTTTTTTGTTTTCTGTTATTTTGAAAGTGCAAATGATGGAAATAAAATCTAACTTTTGTTGACATATTATAAGAATGTCTATTCTGTAATTTGATGCATTTTGGAGATTATTCCATCTTTCCTTGGCTTCTTTATGCACATTAATACAAATTTTTTAGCTGGGGTGCCCAAACTTTTGATCCCCACTGTATATCTTCCTTTGCTACACATAATACTAGTGCTTGTTAGTGTCCACCCTACTGACATCAGTAGAGAATTCCAGATTGAAACGGGCAATCTTAAGAGCACTTAACCGAAGGGTTACAAAAATAAGTAACTTTATATGCACAGCCTACCTTGATCTTTCTAATTTTGTTAGCAAACTGCATCCTACTATACAGGGTAATGGAGACATTATGGAGTCAGATGTGGAAACATTGCCCACTTAAACTTCTGCTCCATAGGTCACATCAAATGCTTTCACTTTTAGTCCTACTTTGTCTTTGAACTGTGTTAAACCAACCACCTGGGTGTGTGTGTGGGAGTGCATAACATGGAACTTTGACAACATAAATAAGTTACATCTTCTAATGTCTTGCTAAAATCAAAATAAAATCCTAACACACAGTGCTTTTGCACCAGGAGTCCAAGGGAAACAAAGGCTACAGCATCTATATGGACCGCCTTATGAAGCCTATGTTGGTTTCTAATACTTCCCAAAACAAACAACTGGCAGAGCAAGTCTCTAACAATTTGGTTCTACACATTCCATGTAGCCTGATTCTTGGCAAATACTGGCATGCATTAATAAAGCATAATGAACACACTTTAAAAATTGTTGGGGCAAAGTTTAATTAACATATGTACAGTACATGCATTTCCCTAACATTACTTCTACCCAAAATGTGTAAAATCATCCAAATGAGAATTAAGGGCCTGTGCCAATAGGCTTTGGGCTTGCATCAATGGCATCAGTCTGAGAAGCTGCTAAGATTATCCAGAATTCATTTGTAGGTGCATTTGACTTGTATCTGAACCCCTCCCCCTCTTCTGACCTGTTCCAAGAGGGTTTTGCATCCCACACAGACTTTTAAGAATGCAAAACCTACGGGAAGTGAAGAAAGGCCAATTGACAAAGGCCTAATTGACGCTAAAGATACAACCTACAAATCCTTAGTGGTTTAAAAGTCAAATATAAACTGTAGGAAAAGCAGGAAAAACAGTAGGTAAGCAACCATAGGTTATTCAGCTTACAGAAATATGAAGCACAGCATGCTCTGCTAGCCCTTCTGTATTCTGGACCTTGTGGTACAAGAACACTGAATAGCCAAGGGTTGTAAATGTTTTATTAAACAAAAAATGATGGACAAAAACATTATGAAGCAGCCATGAATATCGGCCAATGGAGAGAACAGTTCTGCCCTCTGCCCCGACATTACAAAACAGGACACTGCAACAAACTACATGTCAATAAGAACCTCACAAGCAGCCATGCGAGGAAGGCGTGGATATCAGTGACCTTGACAGATAATACTCAAGTACACAACATAGAAGATACCTAAACAACTGTCTCCTTTTGTGAGAGAGAGTAGAAAAGCCTTCTCTGTAGACTCTGTTGGTTACATTAAAAGGGAAGGGGAGAAACCAATTTAAGTCTTTCCAATTACAGCAAAGTTTTAGAGGTGGACAAGACGAATAACAACTGAAGTGATCTAATAGAATGCAAACTGTCTTTATTGAATTAATCAGAGCTGATTCACACATGTGAGGTGCGGACTGAAGCTGAGGTTTCACAGCTCGTTGACACTGTAGTTGTTCAGCAGTTCAGGTCAGGTTTACATCATGTTCAGATCAAGATTTTATCCTGTTCACACATGTGGGTTTAGAAATGGTTCCCATAGAGATAAATGGCCTGTAGCCCACACCTGAACTGCACCGCACTGCTCAAAAATTGGAAAGGACTCTTTTTCAATCCGCACTGCCAGTGCACCGGACACATGTGAACAGGCATAGGAAGCAATGTTATTTCAGGTCATACGGATTGGATCCGCATATATGTGAACCGGCACTCAGCATAAGCACTGTCCAATTCCAAGTAAAACTATGTTCATATTCAAAAAGTTTGGTTAAATCTAAAATCATTAAATCAGAAGGAATTCTCCACTTTAAAAAAGGACACAAGCGTTAAAGGCTATTCCGGTGAACAATTCAAATGGGTCCACATCTTTCACAATTGTTATTGGACTGGGAGCCACAGGCCTATATTTCACTCATACCAGAGCAGATGAAAAATTGTCTTGCAATACACTGTACAGCAACTCTGAAACACAGGCTCAGGTTAAGTTTTAAGTGCAGAACGGCTTTACACAAAATTTCAAATATATTTATATACTTATGAGTAGATCTGCATGTCAATATGTGCATTTGCACTAAATGTGCATAACACCACAATTAAAGGAGATGCAATTTTGGCTATACTTCTCTTGTAGGTCACAGGAGTACAGTTGGTTCTTCACTCCTGCGACCTGTTTTTCAGCTGACAACGATCTAAAGTCCAGCTGATGTCACTGAGCCGGTCCAGGCTCTGAAAAGATTCCAACCCTATGGTCAGGATCCACCCAAAAGCCTAGCAATATGCCAAGAGCCTGAGCCAGACAGTCACAGCTCTCTGCTCAGAGCAGAGGGGAGAACTGAGCAATCGCGGTCTTTGATTGCTCACTTCTCACTACTGAGCCAGCTGGGGACAGATGCAGCATTGGATCGATGCTGCAAACCGCCTAAGGGAATAGAATTGGGTTTTTTTTTGTCCATATGTAAACTATATTTGTTAAAATGCAACTATCGTTAGAATACACCGAGAGTAATTAAAAAAAAAAAAAAAAAAGTCTGCTTCGAGTTGCCTTATGTGACAAAGTCTAAGCAGCCAACATCACTTGGTCTACAGCTATTATATAATTGAAAAAAGTTTCAAGTCATTAGAAACTACAGGGTATTGTTTGTCAGCTGGTAGACCTGTTGCCTGCATATGGAAGGTGGAAATATGGCCAAGTACATGTGGATTTCAAAACTGTACCTGAAACAATACAATTGCTTACAATGATGTATTTACATTACACAGATCTCTTCATATGCATGAAAATAGTGAAACTTTAAAGTGCACCAGCCACCTATGCTCAACAGAAGCAATCTATTACTGACCCAATAATCCACCTTGGTTCCTTATGAACAAGAGATCAGTGGGACCAAGGACAATAAATGCTCCTAGCACTCATCTATACTCTCATAAATAAGGTGACAGCTTAAAACAAACCTGCATATCAATAGTAAAATACAGTTACATATGTTTACTCTTACTGTAAACACAGACATTTTTAAGTGCAGCCCACAAGGAGTTCTGCATTAAATCCTAACTCCATAATAGTAATAAAAAAAATCCTAAGGGCCGGTTCACACTATAGAAACGCAGTCCAGATGCGTTACGGATACGTTTTTGCATGCACATTTTTGACGTGTTCCAGTGCGTTTTTTTATGCATTCCAGTTAATTTTTTTCCTCTCTTTCTTCAATTTAAATAAGGAAATGTGTGTTCCAGTGTGTTTTTGTGCGTCCCAGTGCGTTTTGCCGCGTTCCAGTACAGTTCTGCGCAGCTAAAATGCAGCTGGTTCTACTTTTTTTTTTTATTTTCTGCACCCGCAACAAACTGGAAGCACTGATGTGAACTATGACATTGACAACCATATAACCTTCTGTGTGTTTTGGATGCAGAAAAACCGCAACTGAAACGCATGTAGTGTGAACCAGGCCTAAAGCCTTGTGTTTCACTTATCTTGAGCTGCAGTCACCTGAGCATCCAGCGCTGGGTCCTTCTGCTTTGTGTCTACTTCCTGGATGGATCCTTCTCTCTGGACGTCAATGTCACACAGATGTCCACTGGCTGGCTAGCGTTGGGGTCCTTTAAGGACCCAGAAGAGGCTCGATATCAGACAGAGGGGAGTGAGAAGGGCAAGCTGGCAAGGGTTAATGCGCAGTATTGGACTGGCAGCCCCTTAAGGCAGGTACAGCATCAGCAAGGGACCTAGATAGGGGGACTCAGATGAGTATAACTGACTTCACCAGGTACTGAAGACTTAACAGCTGTCAGAATGGATTAGGGAGGTTGGAGGGAGGAATGGGAAGAGTAATGATTTTGCCTCGAGTTGGGCTTTAAGGGTAACCACCTAAATGGGCACACACTCTTCCTTTCGAAAAAACAAGGTGCATACATTTCAAGAGCCAAGAGATGATGTAAGGCCAAGTCTAGTCAGCCCACACAAATTAGCCAGCACAGTTGGTGCTTTACCATTTTCCAGGGGAACACACCAAAGTTTTATTGTACCTATGGGGTGATAAAAGGGGAAAGTGATGCAAGGCCTGGCTTACCTGCTATCAGTAATATGACCGTTCTGAGCTGACTGAAACACAGAAATAAAAGAAAAATGAGAATCATGCAGAAGAAATATATAATTTTATTTTATGCAGAATCATGCATAAATGATGGTGCAATTTGTCACTATCCATATTTTATAGGTGGAAAACATTTAAGTCTGAGACACATATGCTTGCTATGAAATTCAACTGGTTGACCAAGGATGTTCTTACTGCCCAGCCTTGGAAGTTTGTCTGACTATTATCCTAGCTGGCTATTCAAGAGCATGATCTTTGGCACCAGGCCCCAGTTCAAAACTGCTAATCAGTGGAAGGAGCGCAACCCAGAACCAAAAGGCTAGTTATTCTCTTAACGCGGAACTTCACACTAAAAAGGGAATCCCACCCCCTGACACTTTTGGGTCTTTGGGGGGGGGGGGGGGCTTACCAATTTCTAGTACACACCCCGCTCCTGCATCCTCTGGAAATGCATAAGCGATCCCACTGGAATTCCTAGGGGGCTGTGGGAGCATTCACAGGGAGCAGCATGCTTCACACATGTGCAGTGGGGAGCCAGCTGTGAAGACGCAAAAAGATAACATAGCGGCGCCAGGGATCCAAAGACCAGTGAAGAGCCGGCCCAGGTGAGGACAGCTGGATCCCTAGACAGGCAGGTGTCTCTCTTATTAATAGTCAGCAGCTACAGTATATTTAGCTGCTGACTTAAAAAAAAACACCACAACTGAAGAACCACTTTAAGGACACTTGATAAAGCAGTCTTCCCCTCCATCACATTAGTACTAAAATAAAGGAATCTGGGTTGGGAACAAATTCAAACATTCTAAAGTGTGAAACTCATTTAGGAAGCCCATCAATTCTGCATAGCAACTTTAATGAACTATTTCCTAACTAAACTGTTGTTACACCTAAAGTAGTTGCGGTGCTGCATGCATCACAATCATGAAGTTTCCAGTTTAGAGAAACAGTCACCACAGGTAAATTCAGTCTGACAAAACGTTTCCTTTACTAGGAAACTGATGAGAATATGTGGCATATGGATCTGGCACAAATATTATACAGTAATATTAAGTGTTGAAAACTTGTTCACTTGACACAGCACCAAGTGATTTGCATAAAAGGAAAAGCATAGAATTTCTCTTTATGTCTAAATGACTAGTAGGGGAGCTTAGAAAATCTCACTGAATGCAAAGACAATGGCACAAAAGCCAAGATACGTTTCATATTAGCATTCTAAGGCTGCCCATATATAAAATTAATTTTTGTCAGTTCCTGAAGAACTGGACAAAATCCCCCCCCCCCCCCCCCCCCCCCCCCCACCGTTGCCATGCCGGCCGACATCTTTCATTTGAAAAATAGAACTAACCGGCCAGAAAACTGTCAGTTGAATATTGCGTGCACACAATCAGATGCAGGCACTGTATTCTTACAGCTGGCAGCAATGACTGTAAAAATACAATCGCCACAGCGGGAGATTTGTCCATCCTTGCTGTTTAGCATGAATGGAGGAAATTGTTAGATTTTTTTTTCATTCAGCCCACAGACTGAACAAAAAAAAGGCCTATGTGTGTTTGGCCAGCTTTAAACACTAGTCACTTGATAAAAGAATATAAATTTATAAAGTGACGAATCTACTTTAACCACCTCCTGTCCGGCCGGTGTATATAAACGGCCGGATGGTGGCAGTGCAGGGTCCGGTGGCCGTTTATAAACGGCGTCCCCGCCCCCTGCTTGTGCGTGCTCCCTGGGAGCGCGCAGCACCGCAATCCGGTGCCCGCTGTGTCCTCCGGACACAGTGGAACACCGATCGTCGGACGGGACCTCTGTACGAGGTCCCGATCCTGTGATCACTGATTGGCCAATCAATGATCACATGCATAGTAAGCAAGAGGTCACTTGTGACATCTTTGCTTACTACGTGTGAAATCTGTGAATGATCACAGAGGTCACATGGTACAAGGCTATTCACAGCAGCCTTGTGCCATGTGACAAGCTGTGACCAATCACAGCTCACTCAGTTCTCAATGGCTGCAAGAATGCAGCTAGAGAGAAGGAGAAATTATTGCTTTTACATCCTTTATGGGTGTAAAAGCAATCAGTGTAAAAAAAAATTTTAAATAAAATCTTCATCGCCCCTCCTCAATGTAGTTAGGGTGACAGTATGTTAAAAAATATTAAAAAAAAAAAATGTTTAAAAAAAAAGGTTTAAAAATTATAATTTTTGGTTATAAACTAATTTGGGTTATTTTTTTTTTTTACTAAAAATATAACGGAATAAATTTTGGCCAAGATTTATGATGAAATACTATTTGCAAAATTTTATAAGAAACACACTTTCAGAATGTGTGGACTTTTTAATTTACATAGCAAAAAAAAATAAAAATCCCAGTGGTGAATAAATACCACCAAAATAAAGCTTTATCTGTCTCAAAAAAAATGCTAAAATTAATATGGGTACAGTGTTGCATGACCGCGCAATTGTCATTCAAAGTGTTATATCACTGAAAGATGAAAATTGGCCTGGACAGGAAGGGGGTAAAAGTGTCCGGACTGGTGGTGGTTAATATGTACTTGCATACACTGAGTAATGTAAATTTTAACTTGCCTCCCTTGCGAAAATTCTCTCCCGAACTCTCTGATACTCCTCCTCTCGCTCTTCTATGGATTTACTCCTCCTTCCATCTTGCAAAGGTACTCTAATCTGTATTATTTGGGAAGATCAATGAGATAAAGATATATATATGAGTAATAGGAATAATTTTAAACCATGAGACAGAACAGTTAAACTAGTAGCTTGCATAACAACCAGAGCCTAGGAGAGAAACCAGCTCCAGATAACATATTAATTATACAGATACAAAAATGCAAAAAGCAGACAAGACACACTTTAATGCACTAAGTATAAACAAACAGAGAAAAAAAAAAAAAAAGTACAGTAACATTCCAGCATTACTGTAATTTTATGAAAGAACTGGCACTGTAACAAAAGGATGGTTTCCTATTAATATAGAAAGGGAACCACATACCGGGACCCAATTCAGTCTCAGAAACCAGACAAGCTGCTCCAACTACTCACTGAGCTCTGACGTTTAAACTGAGATGCAAACATCTACCTTTTGTGCTGATAAACTTTAAAGAACCAGCATCATAGAATAGTTATGATACCAGCTGGATGAGAAAGACAGATCATATAATGGCTCCTTTCTACCACACTTCAACTTTAAGGGCTAGTTCACACTAGATACAGTCCAGTGCATTTTTTTTCTGCATCAAAAATGCATGCACCGTGTTTTCCATGTATCCCAATGGCCCTAGTTTCCACCAGTGCAGTCAGTCAGTTCCAGTCAGTAGAACATGCTGCATTTTTTTCTACATAGAACTATACTGGAACATAGCAAAGTGCACCGGAACGGAGTGTGGTGTGAACTGTAAGGAAAAACTTATCCGGAATGCATCCGGAGTGCGTTTTTGTGAAGTGAACTGGCCGTTAGGGCTTCTTTACACCAGGAGTTTAATGCACTTTTAAACGCAGTACAACGCATATGTCAAGAAGTCTAGTTTACACCATAGGGGTGCTTTCACGTATGTTTAAAAAGGACAGCCTACACACGTAAAAGCACATGAATGCACCATAAGCACACAAATTCAACTCAGTATAATTAAAAAAAAAAAAAAACATAAATATGCCTAAAATGTGTATTGAACTGAACACAGAGATTGCGGTGTAAATAGGCAATTACCGCAGAAGCCAATGCATCTGGACTTTAAAGGCACACATTTGAAGGAAATAAAATGTACGTGGAAATTTGGCAAAACAGACTTGGGACATTATTAATAAAATCTATCCTTACTACCGCACTTAATAAAAGAACATGCACAAGCAATGGCCTTCAATGATGCTTTGCTTCCAACCTCTTCATCTTTTTGTTCTCCTGGTATACAACCACTACATTTGAAAAAAAAAAAAAAAATTCCAAGTCTCTAATGTGGTTTTCTCCTTTGGATTGATCTGTCATTCCAGGACAAAAGGACAGCTGAAGCATGAAGTAAGCAAAATACATTGTGGTAAATATGATATATTCTCTTCTCTCTTCTAGAAGTACATGGAACTCAAGTAGCTGTAGTGGCTATACACAGTAAAAGCTTTAGGGTCCTTTCAAACGGGCATTTCGTTTTTTTCATCAGTTTAGTTGCATTTTTTTTTTTCCAAAATTGGAGCTAAACGGATCAAGACTTCACTTTTTACCTCTGTTTTCATATCTGTTTTTGAGACGACTGCAATCCGTTTTTTCCTGAGTCATGGACTTCCCAAGACATTTTGCTCTAACCCAGCATGCACTGTGTATCCCATGCTGCTTTGCAGTCCCAGCAAATGACTAAGTGTACATCACAATGTTCTTCTTGTGTGTTCACGTTTTTGTTATTTTTATTATTGGTTTTTTTTTTTTTTTTTAATATAATTTTTTTTATTAAGGTTTTATTGAAAATAAAAAAAATGCTAATTTTCAGAAAAATGGATGTTAGCGGATCGAATGTAAGCAGATGTCGTCCACCAACATCGGTTTTTCATCCGTCCAATTTTTTTAATGATAGAAAAATAGGGATTTCTTCGGTCAAAAAGCCAGATGTTACCAGATGCGGACATTAACGGATGTAAACAGATGATTATCCATTGATATCCACTAGTTCACAAATACATGGGTGTCAGTTTTTCATCCGTAAACGGATGTATGAAAAAAGGACATACGGAAGGGCCATGTGAAAGGACCTTAAGTAAATCAAGATGAAGTGGTCCTTTTAATACTACGTGGGATAGACATTACTGCTTCCAATACTTAAAAAAAAAAAAAGTATGTATTATATATATATATATATATATATATATAAAATGTCCTCTTGTACATAGGCCTTAAAAAGCCACATTTTTAGGAAGGCATTTTTCTTTAGTGATTTCAAAGCAACCCAATGTTTTTGATGTGCTTGTAGACCTAGGCACGTAACCTTGCGCTGTGTATAGATCAGTATTAAAAAAAAAAAAAAATCTGTTGCCGGTCAGTATTTTTATACCTGTATGCGTGCAAATACACACATATACCTTCGAAATTAAAAAAAAAAAAAAAAAAAAAAAAAACACTACAGGAATTTTCACATGCATGAGCACATACAAATATGGGCAAGTGCCAGCTACTTCTTGCTTTTTTCTGCCAGGAATATCTGATGTTCATGCATCAGTACCGTGTGCAAGTACCCAAATGTAAAGTGGTTGAATTACCGTATTTTTCGGCATATAAGACGACTTTTCAACCCATGAAAATCTTCTGAAAAGTCGGGGGTCGTCTTATACGCCAGTATACGGCGAGCCGGTGTCAGGGCGGCACTTTTTCGAGGGCCGGCGCGGCGCCGCCCCCCCATCCTCCTCCAACGGACACTAAGGTCAGGGGTGGGCAGAGGGGCTGCTGTACCTTACCTGGCTCCGGTCCCGGTCCCACGACGATCCGGTCCAGGAAGCGCGGCTGCTCCTTCTTTCAGTTCAGCCGCTCGATGGTCGCACGGCCGCTCGGCTCCGCCTCCTCACCGGTGATTGGGCGCCAGCACTGGAAAGGCACACAGGCGACCAATCACCGGCGAGGAGGCGGAGCCGAGCGGCCCCGCGAAAATCGAGTGGCCGAACTGAAAGAAGGAGCAGCTGCTCCTCTCCCCCACTGACACCAACGATGAGGCACTAGTCCCTCCTCCCACAACGATGACACCAACGATGGGGCACTGTTCCTCCCCCACTAACACCAACGATGGGGCACTATTCCTCCTCGCCACTGACACCAATGATGGGGCACTATTCCTCCCACTGATACCAATGATGGGGCACTATTCCCCCCACTGACACCAATGATGGGGCACTATTCCCCCCACTGACACCAATGATGGGCACTATTCCTTCCACTGATACCAATGATGGGGCACTATTCCTTCCACTGATACCAATGATGGGGCGCAATTCCTGCCACTGATAACCAATGAAGGGGCGCTATTCCTCCACTGACACCAATGAAGGGGCGCTATTCCTCCCACTGACACCAATGATGGGGCGCTATTCCTCCCACTGACACCAATGATGGGGTGCTATTCCTCCCACTGACACTAATGATGGGGCGCTATTCCTCTCACTGACACCAATGATGGGGCGCTATTCCTCTCACTGACACCAATGATGGGGCGCTATTCCTCCCACTGACACCAATGATGGGGTGCTATTCCTCCCACTGACACCAATGATGGGGCACTATTCCTCCCACTGACTAATGATGGGGCACTATTCCTCCCAATGACACCAACGATGGGGCACTATTCCTCCCACTGATACCAATGATGGGACACTATTCCTCACACACTGACACTAATGATGGGACACCATCATTGGTGTCAGTGAGAGGAATAGTGCCCCATCATTGGTGTCAGTGGGAGGAATAGTGCCCCATCATTGGTGTCAGTGGATGAAATAGTGCCCCATCATTGGTGTCAGTGGATGAAATAGTGCCCCATCATTGGTGTCAGTGGATGAAATAGTGCCCCATCATTGGTGTCAGTGGGAGGAATCCTGCCCAATCATTGGTGTCAGTGGGAGGAATAGCGCCCCATCATTGGTGTCAGTGGGAGGAATAGCACCCCATCATTGGAATACCATACTGAAATAGCATACCATATTGAAATCAAATCTGATGTTTTTTCATTTTTATTTGGTGTGCATTGGAAGAGGGGTAGTCTTACACGGCGAGTATAGCTCAAACCCTACATTTTAACAGGAAAAGTAGGGGGTCGTCTTATACGCCGGAAAATACGGTACTAAAACTGGAAAGTGCAAAATCTGGTACAGCTCTGCATAGAAACCAATCAGGTTCCGGGTTTTGTCAAAGCTTAATTGAACAAGCTGGAGTTAGATGCTGACTGGCTAGCATGCACAGCTGTGCTAGATTTTTGTACTCTCAAGTTTTAGTAAATCAACCCCATAGAAGACTAATGCAGGCCAAAGAAGACTAATGCAGGCCATAGAAGGTTCGTTTATCGGCCAATATTCGCACCGTTAGTGGGGCAATGTCGTCGGCTGATTTTCGCGGTTCCTCCTCATTTCTTTTATCGGTCATGCTGGAAAATTTACGAAAAACGGACGATTTTCGTAAGCATTGGTGGCAACAGACGAACCGTCTATGGCCTGCATTAGTTAGAAAATGCTAGCACAGCAGTACAGAATGATGCTGTCAATAAATTACATTCTGAAAACTGGGATAAAAAAAATGCAGGAAAATAGTGGACATTAAATGTTACTTTGATTGAATTCTGATTAAGCAACCCAGAATACACATGAAGAATTAAAAAGAAAAAAAAAAAAAAAAAAAAACAAAGTCAACCAGTTGCAGCCTCACCTGATTATCATCACGGTCCATGCTGGCATCGTCTCTTTTTTAGGATGAATCTTTGTTGAAATTCACAACTCTTTTCATCTTTGATGTGCTCAGAAAACCTTTGTTCAGGTCTGAAGAAACAGACTATATGTGACTTCTAAACTATCGTGTAGAACAGCTTAAATGGCTTCATTAAAAGTCTTTAGTACAGAAAGAAAATGGGGTTGATTTACTAAAACTGGAAACTGTAAAACGGGTGCAGCTCTGCATAGAAACCAGCTTCCAGGTATTTGACAAAGCTTAATTGAACAAGCTGAAGTTAGATGATGATTGGCTGCCATGCAGAGCTGCACCAGATTTTGCACTCTCCATTCTTAGTATATCAACCCCTTGCAAAACTAACACATTTGGAAAATACTGTCAAACTTATACCATAGCAGGTTATAAATTGTAACGGGAGGATAAAGATTGCAAAGATTTTGTCAACACTAGCTACTTACATTCGTGTGTTACTGGTTTTATTAATAATCACGGCTTTGCCCGTTTGGTCTACGTTATGATCCATGCCGAAATAAGCAGCAGCACGATGTAAAAGCATCCTGTGATATGAGGTCATCTGTGGAAACTTCTTAAACTGATTGCTGAAAAAAGGAAGACAAGCCAATGCAATGGTCAATATATTTTCCAAGAATGTGTTCCATTTATATCTTTTTAATGCTTATGAACAGACAGAAAAGTCTCAAATGTTATCCAGTGCTGCAATGTAAATGACTTCAGGTTCACCTGCTGTTGCTGTTTTACATTCTGCTGTGCTACATAACAGCACAAGGGAAAAACATCAGGAACCACATTTGTCTTTGCTTGATTGTAATTCCCTTTATTGTAATGTTATATGAAATTATGTACATGTGCATTATTGTAAAGGCAGATGCAGAGCCATATTAGTAGAACGTTTTGGCATAATACATTTAACAGAAAATACATTTTTCTGGGTGTGCACTGGCTGTAGAACATGCTCTGCATACACTTTTGGCCCATTCACTGCATCTGTAAGAAGCCAAGAATAGACAGTGTGCCAGGACGATGAAACTGCAGTGCGCATTTGTCTTCATCACCAGTTTCCATCCAATGGCCAAAGACAGAAGATCAGAATTCAGAAGCAGCAGCAGAGAAGGCAGCGGCGGTGAAGGGGAGTACAGTCCTGTCAGAACTGGAGGACAGCAAACCCAGTGGTAAGCATGCCATAACGCACAAGTATGCACAGCATACCTGCGCATCATGACACATGCTATCCTTCTCCATATTACAGTTTTGCTTTAAATGTATTTGCAGGCCTGGTGTCTAGGACAAGAAAAAAAAAAATCTGTGTTGCCAGTCAGTGTTTTATGCCTGTATATGTGCAAATACGCCACCTTCCCTTGATTTAAATGAAAAAAAAAAAAAATAATTTACAAATTTTTACGTGCATGTACACATGAATACATGAAAATACAAGCAAGTGCTAAACAGCCCATTCTTGCATTTTTTCTGCCAGCAATATCTGATCTCTAATATATGTTTATGCATCAGAACCGTGGCAAGCACCCTAAAAATGCATATTAAGTAATCATAAGATACTAGCACATCAGGCTGGCCCCTTTTGCAGGTACAGCTATCTAAAATATTGAAAGTACCTATACTGTTTAAACTCTAGTAATAAACTGTCTCATCCTGCTCTGCACATGCTCACTTGCTCTCTATTTTTCAGCTTGTGCCAAAAATGTAGAGGCTGATCTGCTGGCAGTCTAAAGATTTACTGCTGCTCAAGGGCTCTGGGATGCAGCAAAATGGCAGCCTCCAGCAAAAAGAAACCGGAACAATGCTGGAAGCAGTTTACAGCACACACCTTTATATATGTTCCTGGCTAAAGAACATTTTTTATGAAGTTGTTATGGATAAAGATCCGCTTGATGTTGTGGATTCAATGTGAAAGGGTTAGCATCTCCGTAAGGTTGTTACTTCCGTGTATGTCCAAGTGGGGAAGATTCATTCTCTATTAACCTAAGGAACCATTGTCCCCATTACAGGAAATAATGAACAATCCAAAATTTTGGCCTGTCACAGCACATATTCGATATGCAAAACTATATACATGTACGTGTTTGCATTTTACATACATGTTTATTGCTCAATCAGAATGCAATGAGGGAATAAAACAAATTTTTCACAGTGTGGATGCACCATGACATTTTAAAAATGCAAAGCACATAGATATGAACTAGATACAAATAAAAGGATGAGACTTCAACTTGGAATGTAGTCCAATGCAGTAAAGTGTATGCATTTTACTATAGCAACACAGACAAATGTGAACACTACCTTCACAAAAATACTGTATTACAAAATTCGGCAGTGATCAGGTAATATCAGTACTAATAATCGTCATTACATGGCAGTGTAGTTCCAAAAAGCCTAGATAGAATGAATTCAAAATGCCAGACAAGACAATTATTATTATACAGGATTTATATAGCGCCAACAGTTTGCGCAGCGCTTTACAATATAAGGGAGACAGTACAGTAACAATACATGATAAAAATCAGGGTTATTCCCGTATGTAAAGGCTCTTAAAACCATAATAGGCATAAAGGCTTATACACACATTTGAAGGTGTTTAATCTAGCAATTGTGTGCATGAGTTCTTTCCTTTCCAATGTGCAAATATACATTTACATCAGTATTTTTCAGGTTTCCTTTTATAAAGGTCATGTGGTAAAAATACAACCACATCTGGGATTAGCACTACATCACAAGCTAAATTAAAGCAGGTTACAGCTTGTTTATTCACATTATGCTTCTGGCTGTTTACACGGTGAGAAGGATCTTGCATTCACACTTACCTATTATCATTAATAAATTCAAGGATTTCTTGTTCTAATTTTAGCAGCATCATTCTATCCCTAAAGGAATGAAATCAAGTTACATTATTATCCATCCATATATGCCAGAGATAGCACCTTTAATTTAGCATAATCTGAACACTGCAGTAGTATCTTCACCAAATATATCTAAAGTGTAGCAAGTGAAATCTTTGGCTAAATTTTGCCTAAACATCTGACCTTCAGTATACTCAAAACACACATATTACAACTGCAAATTAAAAGAAAGAAGTTAACTTTGAAAGAGGTAACACTAGGCGATTATGGCCAACCAATCACACTGTATACACTTCCAATTTAAACCCTTAAACATCTGAGACATTACTAAAAGAAATACTTGGATTGCTGGAAGTTTGATCCAGGAGAGTGCAAACAGACCAGACTTAAAAGGCATAAGGTTTTTTTCTTTATCTTCATGCATTCTATGCATGAAGGTGAAAAACCTACATGCAGCTTTCCCCTCAGCCACGCCTTATGCTTACCGAAGCCTGATCTTGATCCAGCGATGTGCAAGGCGCTCTTCTCTCTCTCACTCCTTATTGGCTTAGATACAGTAGTGGGAGCCACTGGCTCCTGCTGCTATCAACCACAGCCAGTGAGGAGGGAACGGGGGCAGGGCCGATACCTGCTCTGTGTGTCTTATGGAGAGCAGGCAACAGTGCCCCCAAAGCAAGGCGCTTGATGTGGGGGCACTCAGTGGGAAGGAGGAGCCAAGTCTCCCATATAGTTGCGACCTGTCCCCATGCAATATGAACATACAGCTATTCAAACCAATTTTAAACTTTAGACTATGTCTCAACAAATGAGCAATATCAGAAATAGGCATATAAACTCATAGGAGACTATTCCACATTTGCAGTTTCTCTACATTTTTCATGGCACAAGGAGCTCAGAGGTCACAATGTTGAGAAGTGAAGAAATGGCTAAACCCAGTCACAGGTCCCGCCAGAAACACCAAATCCCTCACTACAGCAGGTATGGAAGCAAACAAGAGCCAGATAGCAGGCAGCTAAAAACAATAAAAATATATAACTGGCGCAAAGGAGACAGACCCTGACCGATGAGGGCAGTTAATATCGGACTATTTGAGATGAATATCACAGTACTTGAGTAAAAGAAGCATCAGAAAATGTATCCATGTGTATAAACACCAAGGCCATCTTGGAGCACTCTCTCCATATGTCTCATCCATACAACGGTCCATTCCAATCCACCATCGGTCCATTCCAATCCACCTTTCAATCCATTGCTTACATTCCATGATGCTAGTCCTTGGTCTCCTGCCCGCACTTAGCATCTTGCACACTGAAGGATTTTTTTTTACCTTCATGCATAGAATGCAAACATGTGGTTAAAAAAAATACAATTTTCTATTGATTCAACATGATTCTCAGCAAATAGTTTGGGGTGGTTACTTTCCAAAAAGGGGTTGTTTTGGTGGGTGGGGGCATTTTATGCCCAGCATTAGAAGTTTATGCCACACATCACTCACGTGTTCACATGAAAAAAAATCAGTATTTTTTGCTAGGAAATTAAACACTCAAACATTATATTTTTTTTTAAAACAAACACCCTAGTGAATAAAATGGTGGGTGCTGTCACATAGTACTCGCACCGCGATTTTTCAAATGCACATTTAAAAAAAAAAAAAAAAAAATACTTTACTTTTAATGTACAAAAACACAATATATTGGCCAATTATTTGGTAACATATAAAAGATGATGGTATGTCGAGTAAATAGATACCAAAACACAACATACTTTAAAAGTGCGCATGCCCCGTGCAATGGCGACAAACTGCAAATGTTTTTAATATCTATAGGCAACGCTTTAAAAGCCTTTACAAACTACCATTTTGGATTTACAGAGGAGGTCTAGTGCCAGAATTACTGTGCTCGATCTGACCTTCACGGCAATACCTCACATGCATGGTGCACACTGGTTACATACCAGCACAGGGTCAACGCTCACGCACGCAGGTATCCGTGCGGTGGCTTTTTTTTTATTTTAAAGTTATTTTGATTTTTTTAATTATTATTTTACACTTTTTTTTTTTTCTTTTGATGACTTTTAATGCTATCACAGGGAATGCAAATATCCCCTATAACTTCAATGGGCATTTTCATATATTCTTTTTTGAGAAATCTGGGGTCTATCATACTCTAGATATCTCCTCTGCCCTTACATTATCTAATCAAACCAAGATCGGGGTGATCAGATGCCTTCCCAATTTACAAATGGCGCTGTTTATATCATGCGAAAGTGAAGTGATGAAATGCTCGTAGCTTTCAATTTCTTAGACTATAGAGATGATTGGCACCATTCCGATCGCCAATCAGTTTTATGGTCAGCTGTCAAACACCATCTGCATTCTTAGGTTCCCCCGATGGCACGGGATTGCCCGAGAAGGCCGTGGAAGGCAGCGGGGGAGGGGGGCATCATCTCCCGCTGCTTGTAAAAGCAATCCTGCAGCTAATTAGCCACTAGGATTGATTTTACATGAAAGCCAATCGTCGGCTGAAAAAAACAATACCAAGATGATGCCTGCAGCTGTAGGCATTATCCTGGTATAACCAAAGTCCAGGGATGTCGTATGTCGCTGGTCCTTGCTGGGTATATATGCTATGTTTTATTTTTTCAGTACGCAGCTTGTGGGCTAAAAGAAAAGAGAAGAAATCTCTGCCAGAAAAAGTGTGTGGTATGCCCACCATTAGAATATACTGCCCTGCATCCACCCACTTCTAATGGTGGGCACACATTAGGTCACAAGGTATCACATGCGCCGATTCTAAGATTGTACAAATGTCTAAATAGTGCCACACTTTAATAAAAATTGTCCACGTATAAGTGGTACCCCACAATGAAAAAGGATGACACCAAGTCCCAAACTATCTTGCCACTACTCCCCATGTAGTCTGGGCATCTGGGGGGCTCCACATGACTATCTTTTCCCTCGTAAATCTGAAACTTATATGTATAGCTTGTTGCTCTCTCACAGGTTTTATACATCTTGACCCCATATCTGGCACGCTTGCTGGGGAAAAATGTTTCAATGCAAAGCGTATTGGGTTTCCATGCGAATGGTCTGGCAAGGTTTGAATTTGGGTTGGCGGCTATAAACTTGTTGTGCATATAAATTGCTTTCATCCACAATCAATGCATACAGATCTTCCATGAAAAACAGCTCCAAAAAAATCAAGGGGAGTAGTTAAATTTGCTGTTTCCACCTGAATTCTGGGTTGGGCAGTGAATGGGGGAAGTACGGGTGCTGCAGAATTTGTGGGCTGCCAAATCAGGATTTGCATGCACATCTGGAAGGATACTAGGGGCTCTACATGCCTGTGTGCGAATACTTGGTGGTTGCAAGACACTACTTGTGCGCGCTACCGCACCAGCTTGTACTGCACACTTATGGGACTCGCCAGGTCACCAAGTGATACTGCAGTGCTGGTATATGAAAGACCAAGATGCACTAGGCCGCTGGTGCTCGCCAGTTCACCAAAATGTAGCACGGCACTAGTACTGGCACTATGATGCATATGAGTGTCATCAAAATTTACCGGCAAGTGCTAACAGAGATCAGGCCTGATTCTGCGAACACTGCGGTTTTATGTGCAATGTATCAAGTGACACTGACCTACTGACACTGCACTTGCTGGGTGAGAAGGGGGGGTTAAGCGTAGGCGCTGGCAGGTGCCGGGGCTGATCCTGCTAACGCTGCGTTTTTGAAGACACTATACTAATGTGAACGTTGCTATAGTGCTGATCTGATCAAAGATATTGATCAGTTCAAACACTATACTGGCAATGGAGGTTTATAGTGTATAAGCGTGTTCCTGGCAATCAAGAGATTAAATCCAATTACTGGTGTATGGAAGGGCAATCAGACGCTATCTGGGAGGGGCGTGAAAACCATGGGAGCGTGAATCACGTATATATACACGTGATTTTGCACACCCGTGCTGCCCTGTAGCAGTATTTACGCTATAGGGCAGTTAGGAAGCGGTTAAAGAAGAGGTGTTGCGGTGCTGTGTTACTTTAACTGACAATTGCACGGTCATGCAATGCTGCACCAAAATGAAATTTATGTCCTTTTTTCCCCCCCACGAATTGAGCTTTCTTTCGGTGGTATTTGATTGCCCGTGCGGTTTTTTATTTTTTGAGCTCCAAAAAAAAAAATACTGAATTTTGAGAAAAAACAATAATTTTGGACTTTTTGCTATAAAACATGTCCAGTAAAAAAAAAAAAACAAAATCAAATTTAGGCCAAACTGTATTCTGCAACATGTCTTTGCTAAAAAAAAAAATCCCAATACGTGTAAAATTAATTGGTTTACGTGAAAGTTACAGCAAAAGGCGGTATAGATACTGGATTTTTTTTTATACTAACAATCAGCGACTTATGGCGGCGATCAAGGACTTATGGCGGGGCTGCGGTGGACATTCTGACACTTGGGGGGGGGGGGGGGGGGGGGGGGGGGGGGGAACTGACTTGGGGCCTACCCGGAAATGCAGGATCAAGTTTATATACGTGATCCTGTGCACAGGGGCCGCCTTGTTGCAGTATATGTACTGTGGGCGATCCCCTATTGGTTAAACAATGGCTTTCTTCTTGCCATTCTTCCATAAAGGCCAGATTTGTGGCGTGCATGACTAATAGTGGACAGATTCTCCCACCTGAGCTGTGGATCTCTGCAGCTCCTCCAGAGTTACCATGGACCTCTTGCTGCTTCTCTGATTAATGCTCTTCTTACCCAGCCTGTCAGTTTAGGTGGACAGACATATCTTGGTAGGTTTGCAGTTGTGCCATGCCTTTTCCATTTTCAGATGATGGATTGAACAGTGCTTCATGAGACGTTCAAAGCTTGGGATATCTTTTTTATAACCTAACCCTACTTTAAACAACGTCTCCACAACTTTATCCCTGACTTGTCTGGTGTGTTCCTTGGCCTTCATGATGCGATTTGTTCACTAATGTTCTCTAACAAATCTCTGAGGACTTCACAGAACCACTGTATTTATACTGAGATTAAATTACACACAGGTGGACTATTTACTAATTAGGTGATTACTGAAGGCAATTGGTTCCACTAGATTTTAGTTACGGGCACCACACCCGGTCACACAGATCCGACTTTGAAATGGTGCGACTTCCAGTGAAGTTGCACGATTTCGAAGTCGGATGTTATATTCCGACTTGGTGTGACTCGCAAGACGCAGATGTCTAGGCAAGTCACACCTGAAGTAGTACATGCACGACTTTAGAAATCAGTGTGGCTCCGACCAAGTCGGAATCACATCAATATGACCATTTTAATTGCGGACAATAGGGTGAAACTTGCATGGCAAGTTACACCTGATGTGACCGGGTGTCAGAGTAAAGGGGGCTGAATACAAATGCACACCACACTTTTCAGATATTTGCAAAAAAATGTTGTGTTGGTCTATCACATAAAAACCCAATAAAACACATTTACGTTTTTGGTTCCAATATGACAAAATGTGGAAAATTGCAAGGGGTATAAATACTTTAAGGCACCGTACTTGGCTAGCGATCCTGCTAATAAAAGCTTAATTGAATTACCCTACAGCACAGCGTAACACAAGGTTTCCGCATGGCTATGAAAAGGGAAATACTATGATGTCATCTTTGACATCAAGATTTTCTGTGAGCTCCAGCAACCATCTATCAACAAGGCAGAGTTATTTCAACTCTTTTCAAAGTTCAACTGCAGCAGCTGATCACTGCAATAATGAAAAAAGTACACTATAAATATAAATATGCCAAAACATAAATTGTCAAATTAAATACCCGCATGTTTTTAAAAAAGTTACCTTGGGTTATTCTTCAGTGTGTTAACTAAAAATTCATGTACATCTATTCCAGTAGAATCTGTGTACTCCTGACTAGAATCTGTGGGGACAAAATAATGAAAATAACTTCTTATAAACACCATGTCTTATCGTGGAAGTCAGTAACGTCTTTCTAAAAACATTGGACACAACTTGCATTACTCTATAGTACATACTAATAAACCGTAAGTCTACTGCCATGGGAGGGCATCGCCCTCAAAATAATTTTCATAACACCAGTTACCCTGTAGCAACATTACACATCATCAGTTTCATTTCAAAAAGCATCAATCATATTAAACCTATCCTTTACAAGGGTCTTTGTCTATGTCCTTGGAAGCCATTACAATCCCCATCGTTTACACAGTATATAGGAGGAGAGAATCTCTACCATTGTTTGTGGGACATTGGATGCAGGAGGCAACTGAGAACTTTGACACAGATTTAAGTAGTTCAGATGCCCAGTTACTACTCTGTAGCTTTATGATTTTTCAATTCACAACTGGAAACCCATACTTAAAGATTGTATGTTTTGCACAACTGTATAGGCATCCATCTCTCCTCGGGCTATATTTAATTTCTAAGCCCATGTCTTAATGCCATCTACCCTAAGTGGTCCTTCTACTACCACCTGCATCTGCCCATGTAAAGACAGAATCTCCTATGGGTAATTATAAGTTTAATATGTAATTGGAAACACCTTTTATATATGTGATCACATAACATAAAATGTACAAGAGATTCAATGTGATCACCGTCTCCCTTACTCCTGTGCAGCTGGGGTTTGTGATTCCCTTCCCATTTGGCTATGGGTGTCAATGCTGGATCCTAGGGGGTTTATTGGCACACAGCCATGTTGCCTCTATGGTCTTCCAAGTTAATTTTGAACAACCTCTTTATGCTCTCTGGCAATTCACATGAGTCTTACAAATGAAATGTGAAATAGAACAAAACAAGCGTGATTTTGGCATTTTACTGATTTGGTCTTCTTTTCATTATAGGTACTGTTATATTCCCCCTGATGAGGATTATATATGAATCTAAACGTGTCGGAGAGACAGTATATCATAAGTACAGTTAAGTGGCTCATGCCATATTGTTATTGTAATTTGATGCCCAGGAGGCACAAGTTTTTGAATAATATACAGTTTGAATGTAAGAGACTATTCCATTTTTTATGGTTATGGTTTTTAACGGAATTTATGAATAAAAGTCTTTTTTTTATACACTTAGTTACCAATGCCAAACACCTGCGATGTTGTACCCAGGGGGCCTTCAAGTGTTAGGTCCATCAGAAGGGTTCAGACTGCAATAGTCAAGAAAATCGAATATCTAGTAACATTCTGATGGACTTGTTTCAGTTCAGTAATGCTGAAACTATGCTGAAATCTAGCTGAATGTGACCAACTACTACTCGATATATGAGCTTGATAGATGGAAACTATCACAGACAGAACTGACCCTATTCAGTGAGGGTCTCTCACAATGGAGTGTCATGGAAAAAATACTAGGGTGGACATACAATCCAGTGACTCGAGCAGTGATAGGTGCTTCTGGAGGATACTTAAAGGTCAGGTCCTTACGAGGGGAAGGAACAGCAGGAACTGGTCCTTTTTAGCCTCACAAGTTATAGTGTTCCTCAGATCAGGGGTAGAGATGAGAAATATCAAGCAACGCGAAGGCAAGTTTCTACCAGAAAAAGAACAAGATCCTAGTGTGCGGGGATTCCAATCGGACCTGGGAAGATACCAGTATCTCACAGAAGTGAGTACACCCCTCACATTTTGGTAAATATTTTATTATATCTTTTCATGTGACAACACTGAAGAAATGATACTTTGCTACAATGTAAAGTAGTGAGTGTACAGCTTGTATAACAGTGTAAATTTGATGTTCCCTCAGAATAACTCAATACACAGCCATTAATGCCTAAACCGCTGGCAAAAAAAGTTAGTACACCCCTAAGTGAAAATGTCCAAATTGGGCCCAAAATATCAATATTTTGTGTGGCCACCATTATTTTCCAGCACTGCCTTAACCCTCTTGGGCATGGAGTTCACAGGTTGCCACTGGAGTCCTCTTCCACTCCTCCATGACGACATCACAGAGCTGGTGGATGTTAGATACCTTGCGCTCCTTCACCTTCCGTTTAAGGATGCCCCACAGATGCTCAATAGGGTTTAGGTCTGGACACATACTTGGCCAGTCCATCACCTTTACCCTCTTGGAGGTGTGTTTGGGGTCCTTATGTTGGAATACTGCCCTGCGGCCCAGTCTCCGGAGGGAGGGGATCATGCTCTGCTTCAGTTCAGTATGTCACAGTACATGTTGGCATTCATGGTTCCCTCAATGAACTGTAGCTCCCCAGTGCTGGTAGCACTCAAGCAGCCCCAGACCATGACACTCCACCACCATGCTTGACTGTAGGCAAGACACACTTGTCTGTACTCCACCATCTTAACCAAATATGTTTTTCTTGGTCACATCAGACCACAGGACAGGGTTCCAGCAATCCATGTCCTTAGTCTGCTTGTCTTCAGCAAACTGTTTGCGGGCTTTCTTGTGCAGCATCTTTAGAAGAGGCTTCCTTCTGGAACAACAGCCATGCAGACCAATTTGATGCAGTGTACGGCGTATGGTCTGAGCACTGACAGGCTGATCCCCTGCCCCTTCAACCTCTGCAGCAATGCTGGCAGCACTCATATGTCTATTTCCCAAAGACAACCTCTGGATATGACGCTGAGACCATGCATTCAACTTCCTTGGTCGACCATGGCGAGGCCTGTTGAGTGGAACCTGTCCTGTTAAATCGCTGTATGGTCTTGGCCACCGTGCTGCAGCTCAGTTTCAGGGTCTTGGCAATCTTCTTATAGCCTAGGCCATTTTATTTAGAGCAACTATTTTTTTTTTCAGATCCTCAGAGAATTATTTGCCATGAGGTGCCATGTTGAACTTCCAGTGACCAGTATGAGAGGGTGAGAACAATAATACCAAATTTAACACACCTGTTCCCCAATCACACCTCAGACCTTGAAACACCAACTAGTCACATTATACCAGGGAGGGAAAATGGCTAATTGGGCCCAATTTGGACATTTTCACTTAGGGGTGTACTCACTTTTGTTGCCAACGGTTTAGACGGCTGTGTGTTGAGTTATTTTGAGGGGACAGCAAATTTACACTGTTAAACAAACTGTACAGTCACTACTTTACATTGCAGCAAAGTGTCATTTCTTCAGTGTTGTCACATGAAAAGTTAGAATAAAATATTTACAAAAATGTGAGGGGTGTACTCACTTCTGTGAGATACTGTACATTGCCAAGTGAATGCCAAACCATGGTTAGGGGCAGCTGACTGACTTGTCGAACTCAAGCGTTTAGCCTGATGACTACTAAAAGTGACTTGAGCACCCAAATGTCGAGTTGGCAAACTATCCAATGAGTCATCCGCATGAACCAACAGAAGTGGGGTGCACCTTCATGTAGAATGTGTTCTAGCCTTCAACTCAGAACCGAGAGGTATGATTTGAATCCCTAAGCACTACTATTGCTAAAGTAGATCAAAGAAGGAAGGGGTTCCACCCACCCTTCTACAGACTTCCTGACATTGAAGTAGGAGCACACTCCAGCCACCAGTGACATTGCTAATGACAATGTCAATAGAAAACCGGACAAGACTTCCCTAGAAGGGTAACCAAGTCAGATGTTCTCAGCTGCATCATTGGCATCCCAAGCCCATAGCCAGAATGCCCACCATATCTGTACAGACACCAGTGCCATGAGAGACATGGATTTAATAGCTTGTAAGCCATCATGACCAAAAGCTCAAGGCTCCACACAATTTACTTCGAACCCTCAAAGAAATGAGAGGCCTAACTGAGCGATAGATGGAACCTCTAGTGACTTTAATATGTCAATCTGTATCAGAATTCGTAAAGTCACACAGGATGGACAGCCACTCCAGTTTAGTTTATTTGAACTGCAATCTAAACAGGGAATTTAGCAGTCAAGGAACTTCTGAAAGGGCACCTTCAACCTATTTGTTAATATGAGCATCTAAGGTGGGAAGAGACCTGATTGATAAATTCCTTATCAGAGAAAAACTGACACACTCAGGAGGGGCTCAGAATTCTACAGGATGGTTTCAGTCCTCACATAGGAATGGGCTTAGCAGTGAGACTGTCCATTTGTGTGTCTTTGAGAAGACTTAATGCATCACGTAGTGGAAAGAAACTCGCTTCAATGCAAGGCAAGCTGGTCCTGATGATGTCTGCAGCAGCCAAGGGTGAAAAAATCATTCTAGGCTGGCAGTGGAACAAGACAGTTTGATCCATATGGTGCTTAAAAGCAGCATGGTGTTTCTTCTAGGCTGAATCCTGAGGAGAATAAGGCATGTGCATGAAGCACTCTAACCAGGAGATAAAGACATTAGATCTCTCATCCTTAACCCTTACCCATGGTAAAAATGGTGGAGTTGGGAAATTTTAAAAACTAACCAAATGGTGAGGTAGCTCTCAATACTTTAACCCAACAAGCAACTGAGGCTATGCCACCTAGAAAACAATCTATGGCGTATACACAAAGGTCTGGAAAGTCCCAGAATGCCCAGTGCCCAAAAGGTTACTTCTCTGGCTATCCCTGCAAATATCCCTACCAGCAGGGTCTGTGTATGGCCTCCAAAGCTATTTCTGAGGAAATGCAGATATGAATAGCTGCTATGTAGGCAGAGACCAGCTTGAGCACCATTGAAAGAATCAAAGCCACCAAGGAAACATCTGAAGGAGGGGTTATACAGGGGCTGGTTGCCAGTGTCCTAGCCTACTTTTGGCGGCAGTGCAACCTGACTGTCCTTTAAAGGACACAGGAATTCAAAAACTATGTAGAATGTCTGTTTTGATAGCAGCTGAAAGAACTAATCTGTCAACACCAATTGATGCTACAATATTAAACCCACCTCTAGACAGCATTTTCTTTGGCCCTTTTTCTTTATTTTTCTCATCCTTCTCAGGTCCATCCTTACAGCACTTCTCTTCCTTATCAGAAGGACAACTAATATGCAAGTGAATAACATCCTAAAGAAAAAAGAAACAAAATCACATCACAGAAAACAAAGCATGATTAGAAAAAAAAAATGCACTGTTCTGTATGTTCAAGGGCTTCTTGTGCACTAGTGAAAACATTTTTACACCAATATGATAGAACAGGTGGCATATAAATCAGTACCAAGTAATAGAGCAACACTTAAACCATCACAAAACAAAGCCCCTACACCAGGAGTGAGCAAATAATTTTTTATCCCCTCCCAGCAGCCCATGTGATGCTTTGCCACTGCATTTTTAACTCAGGGTGCAGAGTCTGACACACAGCACCCCTTGACAAACATGCCCACTGCGTTCAGTGTGGCCAAGCCAGAACCACATGCAATGTACACGATTGCAAGTGCGGCATTATAGGGTTATGAGGCGGTAAAGAGATGATATAAACACCTCCTCATGACCTGTCAAAAGCCCTCTGAAAAGCACTGTGACTGGAAGGAGAAATCCTGAGATCAATACAGCAGGGATTTCTGCAGATCCTGACCTGGAGTGAAGAGCAGGTGAACGGCGCCCAGTGTTTGCAGTGTGCGGGTGCTAACACACGAAGAACATGGCTGGGTAGAAGTTTGGTGGAAGAGCATCAGGGCGTCTCCTAGACAATGCAGTCCTGCCAGGATCAAGTCTTCCCAATGTACCAATCAGTTCCATGGCTATCTCTTTTTAGCTCTTGCAGCTCTCCACACAGACATCTGTCAGTGTGCCTCTCTGAGGATTTCCTGATTGGTCCAAACTGTACAATCACATCTTTCTCATGAAAGGGACTAGATGGAACTCAAACCCCTCTGATATGACGACTTTTCCATAATCATAAGGATCTCTCCCTAGAAATCGGAGACATGTCTCCTGCCAGTATACATTCATTAGGTTTGCCATGACACCTAGACCTTTAAACATCACTTGACAATCTTCGCATATTGCCTTCATGAAGACACTAGCCTCCGCCTATTCATCAGCCCCTGAAGAGGCGATACCAATTATAATGTGCAACATTTGGCTTTAAGCATACTAACAAAAAGGTAACAACAGAAAAGACCAGCTCTCTCGATAGACAGGAGGCAATCTTGTAAATGAGCGACAAATTTCTGCCATACATACATATTTTGGCCCGTATCTCTTATTAATCCCATTTAAAATATATTAATTGCATATATTTCCTGCAAATGTATATTTCACAAAAGTCTCTATAGAACAATACTGCAATGCAGAAAAAACACCTAATGTTTAGAGATAATGCTAAGAAGCAGCTGAACAGGCAAGTGTGAAATTCAAATAAATAGGGACCTGTGTGTCATCACTTACAGGTGTCATATAGCCATTTCCCATTTTGAAGTCTCTCCTGTTCTTGCCGGAAACCAGCAAAATGGAGAGGGAAAGATGGGAACAGGCAAATTAATCAGGGTAGCTAGTGCTGAACTACATTTTGTGGGCAAGAAATAAGTAAAATGTATTTTTATCTGTAAATTCCACATCTTGGGAGTACAGGACACAGAATACTTTGTCATACACAATGGGTTATAGACCTGTAACCTGTATTTTACTCAAAGACATGGAATTTACTGGCACGTCAAAATTCCTTTTATCCTAAGCGTACAGTGCAGGACAAGTCCTGTTTCTTACGTCACAGAGGAGGAATGTTAACTCCTATCACTCTTTACGGTGCTTCCAATGCAATAAGGTCACATTGGTCCCAGGCTCTTCCGTTCCACCGGGGAACCCTTTGGGACCCCCTTTCGCTCCCTCTAAAAGCTGCAGCCGTGATTCTGGTATAACCGCTTCCCAACAGGGACGTATATGTATGTACGGAGGTCAGGACGCAGTTAATTCTGGACACTGACAAGAATCAAGAGACATCATTTTATGCTAATCAGTCAGATACTACTAATAAATAAAATACATTCATCTGAACACCAACAACCCCCTGGCAGGTATCACTGTTTAGCACAAGCTATAGATTGTGCTAGCAGACGACTACATCAGTAACAACACAATAAGTGTTGACTTTTATGACTGCAAATGCAAAGCCAATTCGCTAAAACAATAAAAAATACTTTAAGTTGTGGTTAAATGCCTACAGAAAATACACGCTCCTCCAAAGACATAGCCTATATGGATGCCAAACCATCACAAAATGTTTGTCTTCTCAAGGGATATCTAAAGCCAAGGAAAAAAATTTAAATATACTGCAGTTTACCAGTGCTTAGAAGAGGTGGCTGAATTAGTTTTCAGGCTAAGAATATTTTTAGCAAGTACAGAAAATTCCTGTTCATCTTGCCAGAAATGCATTGTCACTTTTTTTTTTAGCTTAGTGATCATAAACAATCACCTTGTAAAACAACACATTAAATTTAAAATAGAAATGAAAGGTACAGATATAAAATAAATAAATTATAAATAACTTTTTTGTAAGTGATCACATTCCCTCTGTTCTCAGCTGCATAAGAGCTAGGGAGGAGAAGCAACAGTACACAGAGCTTCCTAGTAAATGACTGTGCAGAGAGGGGGGGGTGTCAGAACAAGTCCGATCATTGGAGGAGAGCAACCTGAATTTGCATCATAGTTAGAGAGCTGATCACACTTTGCCTTCCTATTAAAAACTGACCACACTAGGCATGAGAGCAGAGGGACTGGCTGAAATATCAGGGATTTCACCCAAAAGAAACAATACAAAAAGAACAGGATTTTTCTTATAAGTACATGGTACAGCAGGCACATATCAGAAATAGGAAATGTTGGGTTCTACTTCTTTAATGGAAACAAACATCCTTACCAGCCTCCCAAGCGGTCTTCTATAAACTACGAATTCCTCTACACCCCACAAAATGGAAATACAGAAAACCTATTTAAAGTCCAAATCAAGAAAACAACCTGGGCGACAACCATGCCTCCCGCTATATACAACTGAGAAGTGAGCATAGCCACCCAAGGACAGGAAGCCTGTAATTTCCATAATTAACAGAAAAGAAAGGAAATAGGAAAACAAATGCAGCCACCACACTGAATAGCTGGTAAGTGTAATCTTTGTGTTTGGGCTTAGATACGTTTTAAGACTATCTAATTATTTGGGAATAGGGCTCTATTCAGCAGCAACATGAATACAATATTACCTGAGGTTCCAAAGAGCCATCAACATATGGCCCAGATGACTCTTCACACACCGCTAAACTTCTTACCAGCTTCATTTTAGAGTTTGACTAGAGAAAGAGTGAAAGAGTGAAAGAGACTTCCATTAAAACAAAGAAACGAATGAGAGAAAATATAGCATAGCAAACTAGAAGACATAAAACCAATAACTGGTTATTTTGCATAGGACTGTTCTATATATAATTAGGACCCTTCTACTCCTCTTTAAATACTTTTCTTGGAAAACATTGCGAGAAACTGGAGTGCTGATACAGTCCGTTTATACTGCATCCTAGAAGCTGATCAACTGTAACTCACCAAAAATAGGTGAAAAAACAACAAAAATTCCCATTAAGTGAAGAAAAGGGCCCACAAACCAATGCTGTCAGCAGGAAATGGGGCCGAGCACCCAGAAAAAAAGGTCCCAAGAAGGAACCAGAGACAAAAATAGGTCCAGGCAAAGAGGACCAGTCGTTCTAGAGTCTAAGCCTTTACTCCCCTGAAATTCTAGTATTGGATGAGAGCTCCACTTCTATGAAAAACTTACTAGCCAGACAATTGATCTCACCATGCAAGACTATCAGGAAAAATGTTAAATCAACTAGAACACAACCACATACAAAGTTTGAAAGCCTGAGTCCACTGGAGAAAGCACATATTCTACAAATGTCATGACAACTGAAGGGTTAGGGTGCAGGGGAGCAGCTTTAGAAAGAACAGGATGTAGAATCTCACTAATAAAAAAAAAATACAAAAAGCAAAACACCCAATCTTACCCTGACCTCTAGCCAAAGGTTTAGGAATGCTCCTGACAACCCAATTCCAACAAAGAGTCAGTAACCATGGAATAAGGAATAGGAGACTAGTCAATGAAGTCTTCCTCATTCTTGTCAGGGATTATCTGCATTGAAAAACAGCTGTTCTTTGCCTGCCACAAAGGGTCTAAGGCACACCTAGAAGAGAAAGCCTCTCTATGTCCAGCAGCTACCAGTTGGGAGGATCTGGTTTCAATGGGATTGCTCTTAAAATGATTGGCTTCTGTGCTGAATGATACCACTAGTATCAGTCTCATATACACTAAACTACCTCTCCTGATGCCAGTAGTATCCCTAGTATCTCGATGGAATCCAATGGAGACCTGCCTGGGTGGGATCCCACAAAGTAGACAGAACCACCAGAGGACCAGAAAGGCAGAACGATGGATCTAAACCCACATACACACCCCGCCCTAGTTCACAGGGTCAAACATGTTCGACTATTCAGGATCTAAACCACAGGTGTCAAACGGTAGTCCCCCCAGCTGTTGAGGAACTACAAATCCCATCATGCCTCTGCCTTTGAAAGTCATGGTTGTAACTGTCAGCATTGCAATGCCCCATGGAATTTGTAGTTCTGCAACAGCTGAAGAGCCACAGTTTGACACCCCTGATCTAAACCCTCCTGATGCTACTGTAAGGAAGAAGAGAAAAGTAACTTCCTGCCTGATGCTTAAGGGTTTAAAGCTAAACATGTTGTGGACCTTTGTAGCAAGGAACTCAACTATAGGTGACTTGATAGCATGAGTTCTGGCCAATCTTGCAGACCATTAAGCGCATCAGAAAGATCTTGTCCACTACGATCCATGAAGCCTACAGTTTTTTTATTTTTAAAATTTTTTTTTTAAAATTTATTAAATTTTTTTTTTTTAATTTTTAATTTTTTTTTTTTTTTTAAATTTTTTTTTTTATTTTTTTTTATTTAATTTTTTTTTTTTATTTTTTATTTTTATTTATTTTTATTTAATAATCTTTATTATTAAAATTATTTTTTATTTTTTATTAATTTTTTTTTATTTTTATTTTTTTATATATTTTTTTTTTAATTTTTTTTTAATTTTTTTATTTTTATTTTTTTTTTTTAATTTTTTTTTTTTTTTAATTTTATTTAATTTTTTTTTTTTATTTATTTTATTATTTTTTTTTTTTTTTTATTTTTTTAATTTTATTTTTTAATATTTTAATTTTTTTTTATTATTTTTTTTAGATTTTTCACTGGGAGTCATCTGATTATCTCACATTGGAAATGCCAGGATAAAAAGCACTAACCCAACACATGAGCCAAAGCTCTAAGAAGTACCAGTTGTGCATGAGCAACACCAAGGATTCAGATTCCTAACTAGTTGAGGGACAGTGAAAACGCATCCAAGAGGGAGAGGAACCAAACTGTAGGAACTCCGAATGACCCAAGACTGGACACAGCAGACTGAGCCTTCAGCTGGAGATAGTACACACTCAATCAATAAGGTCCAAAACTACCTCTTGTAATTCTGAGGTGACGGCAGGAGATTGTGGTTACACAAAACATGGTGGCAGTATAACCCGACAGTATCAGAATTCCTATAGTAGTAGGTTACACCAGCTTTTACCCATACCTCATCTATTGTAATTATGTGCATACAAATGATTCAATGTTTGCTGTACATTGCGGAATATTGCCTCCACAACTGTACTAAGCAGAGGTGTAAACTTTTATATTGAAGATCTATTCAACATAAACAGCTTAAAGTATTTATGTAAACAGGTAATATATAATTTGCATATATGGACTTGTTACAGAAAACACTGTAGTAAGGAGGAACAAAAAACCCCTCAAAATTGAAAACGTATCACAGCTGTAAAAGGGCCTACTTCAGAGTGATTTGATACATTAGCCCTTATTCACAGTACACAGATACTGTATATACAAAAGTAGTTTGCATTCAGAAGATTGTTAACCAATTTGGTTCCAGTATGTTTTCTAGTCTCTAGGATCAAAATGTTTCTTTTTTGCTTGGTGATGTGTCATGCCAAATAACTTCTAGATCTGTAAGCCAACATGCTGCACAGCTGAGGCTAAAATTGTTCATAGATATGAATTTCTGTTTTACTGGTTTCAATCAATAAGAATCCATTAGGGAAGAAACATTTCCCAGGAATTTCTGCCACCACCATTATTACGCCAGATAATAACCCCAAAGTCTTGTAATTACAAGGACAACATTTAAAGGAAACCTCTTCTGAACGAAATATAAAGGCTGACATAGTTGATCTCAGCTTCTGAAAATGCTAGTATCCTAGTTGTCATGCTAATCCACTGGCTTCAATACTTTCAGCACCTTTGACTCAGACAGGCAGATCAAGAGTTTTTGTTTCACTTGCTGCATAATCCATCTTGGGTTACGGACATAAAATACTGAAGTCAGAGACTCTACTCACGGAAATCCAAAGATTTGACAAAAGAAAAAGACAAAAAGATCCATCCATCCGTTTTCCCTTTTTTAATCTGAAATAAGCCCCACCCAAAAAAAATTATTATTCCCCTGGCCAACACTGTGCCCCCGTAATTGTATTCTATCAATTGATCCCCCCCCAAGTTCATTTCTTTGCATTTAAAAAGCACTGAAATGCACTTTCCACTGTTTTGACAGCAATGTCAAATCATGTTCCATGTTATAAAGACCTCAAGCAATATTAACCCTATTGCACACCTTTGCATCATCAGCAAAGCTGCATACCTTACTCAGCAACATTTAGTTTTTAGCATACTACTTTACAGTGTAATGTCAGTTTTTTGCACCTCAAATAAAGTTGAGAAAAAAAAAAAAGATAACTCTAATGTGCATCACACTGCTCCCTACTTTCCATGCGATTTGACAGTTCAAATCGCAGGACAAGTCACACCCTATGATTGGCAATGGGGACCGTTCTAATCGGTGCAAACTCTGACTTCAACTGCAAATAATATGTATAGTGCTTCTAAAATGTCAACATCTTATAAATACCTGTAATAAATAGACTACAAATAACTATGCCATTGAAAACTATAGAAACCATCTTTGTTTAGACCAGATTTCTTAAAGTGGAACTTTACCTATAGTAACTTGGTAAAAAAAAATATATTTTTTTTTTTAGCAAGGAACATACGTTCCACATTAATAATTATGCTGCCAAAATTACTGTGTGCTGTAAATTGCCTTCAGCATGGTTTTTGTTTCCTCTTGCCAGTGTGGCTGTCATTTTGCTGAGGCCCTGAGCCCCTGAACAGCAATAAATCTTTAGGCTGTCAGCAGATCTGCCTCATTTTTGGCACAATGCCTAAAAATAGAGAGCAATTGAGCATGTGCAGAGCAGGCTGGACAGTATATTACAGGATTTTAAACAGTATAGGTAATTATTTTTACTGTTTTACATACAGTGCTCAGCATAAATGAGTACACCTCAAGAGATTTGTCAGAAAACCTTTACTTTCCTTTCAGCTTCAACATTTTCTACGGGGCACTATACTACATAACACTCCCACAAATGTGGGCCATTGATTGCAAACAAGATTTGTTCATTTGCACACACAAGTATTTTTTTAATCCAAGACCATGTTGCAAAAGTGAATGAAAGTCTTAAGACAACAAAATCTTATTTAACCACTTGCCCGCCAGAGGATTTACCCCCCTTCTTGACCAGGCCATTTTTTGCGATACAGCGCTGCGTTACTTTAACTGACAATTGTGCAGTCGTGCAACACTGCACCCAAATGAAATATATTACGTCCCTTTTTTCCCCGCAAATAGAGCTTTTCTTTCGGTGGTATTTGATCACCTGTGCGTTTTTTTATTTGTTGCATTTTAAAGAAAAAAAAGACCAACAATTTTGAAAAACAACTATATTTTTTGACTTTTTGCTATTAAAACATGTCCAGAAATTTTTTTTTAAAAAATCAAATTTCGCCAAATTTAGGCCAAAATGTATTTTGCTACGTCTTTGCTAAAAAAAAATCCCAATATGTGTAAATGAATTGGTTTACGTGAACGTTATAGTGTTTACAAATGGCGGTATATATACAGGATTTTTTTTTTTTTTTTTTTTAACTAGTAATAGCGGGGACTGTGACAGGCATTCAGACACTGGGGGGGGAAACTAACTTGGTGCCACTGATATCCCAAGTGACACCACTACAGTGATCAGTGCTAAGAAAAAGCACTGGTACTGTACTAAATGGCACTGGGCAGAAAGGGGTTAACATGCGGGGCTGTGTGTGCTTTACACTGTAAGCACACTTC